ATGCGGCCACTAAGTACACGGGATGAAACCAACAGATGGATACGACGCTTTACCATGATTCCCATCCGTTTAAGAGCATGGCCCCGACTCTCCCTCCTTGTACACGATTTGGTGATCCCCTTGTCCACAGATGCTAAATCCGGCATCAAGTTTGTTATCGCCTGATTCGGATGGAAAGATCATCATTCCCCATTTGGCGATTCACTTGTCCTCAACCAAAAAGAGACTGATCAGGTGCTCTGAGATACTGCCGTGCACGTGTCGACCGAGCGCGCGTGGTGCAAAGGGCAGACGAAACGTGTGAATGACGAAGGTAATCCATTTTTTCGATCAGAAGGGCGAAAGGGGGGCATGCGAAAGCCTAGAAATCGTCGGTATGTAATAGGCGGCCGGCATCGAGAAAAGGTTCGCCCCTGTGAAATAAACATTGTATTCCTTGTCCCCAAGGATTCATGATGCATGATGCATGGACTTTGTATTTGGAACAACACACGATGGCATCTTGTCGCCTTGGAAGACATCTTGTTTCCTCGATGGCTCAACTAAAAACGGTACAATGCTTGAGAACCATCTGCAACCGGCACAAAGGCAAGATCTGTTGAACTATGATCTGTCGAGCTATGGATCTGTCGAACTATATGCATCAATTGTGCTCACTGGTCCCAAAAATATCGTCAAAAGCCTTCGTTGCATTTCCTTCGGTTCGAGAGATGTAAGGAGTCAGCATGGAAGAATACGTCTGAAGCGGGAAGAGGGAAGAAATGCTTGTCTTCAAGACACCAGCTTTATGAGCATCAGCCTCTATTGTTGCTTTCATCACTATTGTCTTTGCAACGACAAGTGATGGAAGCATCTTATATAATCACAATAAAGGGGTGATTTTATGATGTATAAGTAATCATCTATTTCAAGCTCAAGGTTTGATGAAAGCATACAAATCGGAACGCAATTTCACAAGTTTAAATGAGTGGATGTTGAGTGAGTATTGGAAGGAACAGATATGGCTACAACTGGTAAAAATACGCTACAGGGCAGTGAGATGCGATAATAGGTCGTATGTAAGTGATATGTGAATGAAAATCCTATGAAACGAGACCATGAGAATGCGGGAGGAAAAGTAGACATACATGGGTATGAAATTAGGTATTACGGAAGAAAGTCAGCTTAGAACAGAGGGAGTGTGTGTCAATTAAGAAACTTCGTTCACGACGTGCATATAAATTACAGGTGCCTGTGCCTCCTGTGCTTTCTCAGAATTGAGAGTCCTGAGAAAGTGTCTCACGCTCGGCGCACGCTTGTTCTTCGGTGGAGACACGATGGGAGCGTCTATGATTGATGACGAGATGCTAGAGCCTTCGAAAGGTCGCGAATGCCTCGGCAGAGCACGGAGAGTTGGTTGCAAGTCTCCTCCGACCTCAGTCGAAGCCAGATATGAGACCGATCTAGAATTCGCAAGACGGGAAAGGGTCTTGTTATATTTGGGCGGCGATGGAGGTGGTTGCGGCCAAGAAACATCAAAGACGGAAGATATCACTGATTCCACATCGGTTGGTACGTGACGAGGTGACGGTGGCATGTCGTGATTGCTGCGGATGGAGGTCGGTGTCGATGGCGCCGGAGAGTCGTGATACTTTGCCTTTCGAGGAGAGACATAGGCCGGAGGAGGAGAAACGATAGATGGTGTCGCGGGAGAAGAGGGTATGATCAGAGGAGGTGGAGCCACTCCGAGAGCCTTGGCTGTTGGAGAACCGAGGTATTCCAAAGTCGACTTGACAAAAGCGTCATCTTCGCCACAGACAGTAGGCGAGGTAGCAGTGAAGGTAGGGCTAGGGGTCGCTGAGCGACTTATGGGAGATGGAAGTCGGACAGAAGTAGAAATGGGAGATGTGGCCCTCAGAGAATGAGAAGGCTTCGATCGAATTGGAGACCAAAACTTCGATTTCTTCGACTCTGTTTCAAGCATATCATCCCATCCCGACTTGAGCTCGAGAACAGGTTTGAGAGGAGGAGGAGACAGTCGAGTGCGTGACTCCATATCAGACCTAGTTTGAGCAGAGCTGTTGTATATGAATTTGAGTTCAATATCAGGTGCATAGTATGATAGACATACTAGAATGGGAGAAGTAACAAAGGTCGTGGATGCCACTTCGGGATCTTGCTGACATGACCACGAGTCCACTTGAAGGCATCTCGAGTCTCTTCGCCTAGTACGAGGACAAGCGCTATGTAAAGGAGGGACACTATGGGAATACCCAACCACGGTATCTCGATACTTCGGGCCGCATCTGTCTCTCGTATGATGTTGATCGTGGTAAATTCCGCGTGTACCGCGGACCAGGAATTGTAGGGGATGAATTGGGAGATGGTGAAGATAGAGAATAGGGAGATGACAAAGAAGACTGCACTGGTTATGATTGTGATCGTCAAACGTCTGATGAAGATTGAAGAGGTGAAGGGGGATCGCTGTTCGAGGTGCGTTGAAAATTCGTATGATGGAAAATTAAATGAGTGAGCAATCGATGCACCTGTTTCTAGATGTCAGATGGCTTGCGGTAGCAAATTATATTCTACGTACCACAAAGGAAGAGAGATGCACAGCATAGGAGAATGGGAGGTAACCACATGAGAGTCAAGCCCACCGCAGAAGGATGGATAGATGCGGAGCACCCGTAGTCCTCAATGAGATCGAAGCGGTGATCCTGTACAACAAAATCTGTAGTAGTATCATCATATTGAGCATGAATACAAAGATAGGAAAAGTTGTTCTTACGAAGACACATATATATCAAAGGAACGATATAACACAGTATGAATTCAAGCATGACACGAGATTTTCGGCCCTTGGATTCTTCTGAAATGCGTCGTGTTGAAGATACGAGCTCTAGTTGACGTGCGATAGACAAAAATGCACCGGGCAACGCAACAGTAACGCCAACCAAAAGTTTTGTGACTAATTGAAATTGAAACAAAATCCGTACAAGATGAGGAAGAAGACGTACCAATGTCACACCATACAGGAGCATGAATCTCTACATTACCAGCCCAGATGACGGCGTTGATACCGTGAACTAAATTTGCGCCAAGAAGCCATGAAACAATTGCTAGGTTTGCGACATTCTGTCGTACACGGGCAATTGGAACGAAGAGCGCAAGGAGAGCTGCGCAAACAAACGAAATAGCAGCGAGAGTTGCTTGCATATTATCTCGTGGCCTTTCAACGCCAATGCTTGACAGAGGATTCGAATGAAGGAAGCGGCACCGTCAAAGAAGTCTAAATGCTGACATTTTAGAAGAAATAAAACAAGGACGTCTTCAGTCAAAAGAGGAAAGCGGGGTTAGACAGCTCTATCCGATGTGGCGACGTCGAGAGGAAGGCGTTGGCCAGGTGGACAACAGACAAGTGAGCTGCCAGATTGAAAACAAGGGGATGACGTATGGTCGAAGCACAATGCGTCCATGCGATCCTGAGAGGCAAGAAGTTTCAAGGACATTGACAAAGGGATGTTCGAATGAGGAAGTGTCAATATAGGATTACGCAATTGGACGGTTGTATCAAGTTTCCATTTTTGGGAGACCAATGGTGGCTGTGCAGTGGTCTTTGATCGTACAATGCCCAGTGCAATGTTCACCGGAGCCGCGCGCGCGCCAAGGCGGGCATGGAAAATTCTCAGAGAAGGAAGGTGCACTCCGCATATCCCGGCCTTTGAGACATCGCTTAGATGTGCTAAACTTGCTCGCACTTACGGAACTCGGGACCTTGCCTCATCCGGGAAGCAAACTCCCAAATAACACATGAAGTCTACACATACGTTGTAGCTTTCCAGAGTTGATGCATGATGCTTGGTATATTGGTGACTGTTGCTTCGAATCTACGACAGTTTCTTGAGTTTAAATTGACGCCTTGCCAGAGCGGACATCTCCAGACCTTGTCGCCAATACATCCGGGAGAATCTGTGAATAATGTCTTTGCTAGTATATCGGTTAGTACACGCGCCTGTCATCTCGAGACATGGTAAAGTGCGCGCGAAAGCTGGGTTCGACTCCCAGGCAAAGAGATTTATTTTGTCAGCCGCTAGCCACATTCCGTCACCTCATACATACCAGGTGTACGTTCCGAAGATACTCAGATACTACATACACGTATATCGGTGGAATGCTATGTACTTATCTATCGATGCAACTTTAGAAATTCCCTCAGGACCAATCATTCATTGTGTGGTTGATTGATGCATCGCCGGAGTCCGGCGTGTCGATGCGGATGACACCTTGGTCGAATACTGAGAGCCAAAACGTCATACTACATGTTGGGTCCTATATCTAAACTAAGAAGTAGTGCTTCCATTAGATATTGGCCCGTCATCGAAAATCAATATTCCGACTTGCGGTTCCTAATAAAGGGGAGGTTTATGGAGGGATTGTATACGACGAGGTACAGCAGGCTCGAAGGAGGAGGAAGCATAGTCACTCCTCTCACCACGGCTCCCTTTCATATCCGTAATGCCTTCAAAGGATAGCGGCTGTGTCGTGGTGAACGGGTGCGCTTCGCGTGACGCTTGTCTGCGACGATACCTCCTGCGCGACTGTAGAAAACAAACCCCGAGGATGATTGCCACAAGGGCAAGTCCGCCAACTACACCGCCGACAATGATACCAACAGAAGAAGAGTGAGTTTGTGAAGCAGTCGTAGACGACGGTTGTGGAGTAGAGGAAGACGATTGAGAAGGGAACGAAGAAGAAGCAGACGATGATATGAATTGTATGCCGGATGTAGTCAAAGACGGAGGGCCTGATGGAGCGAACGGTGTCGAGGTGATGGTGACGAGGAGATAATTTAAGGATAAGGGTGTTGATTGCAGAGTTTTGTCACCTAAGTAGGTGACTACGAGCTTATGCTGTGTTGGCGATAATTGAGGCGTTTCAAAGAACATTACATTTGTATGAGTGGTACTAAATGGAGGTGTATTCCCAACCGTGGCAGGTTGACCAGCATGGCCATGGATGACGACTGTCGAGTTTGTAGGTTTGAGCGGCTCGTTTCGCAAAAGCCACCCATACCACGCAACATGAGTGCCTGATAAATGTCAAAGGCTTGTAATGGGCAAGATCGATCATGCTAACCTACGAACTCAAACGTCGCTGTTGAACTCCGCTGAATTGCGAGTTGTGCGTCATCTACTGAAGGGCTGCCACCACGAGGTTCCCAGTTAGACGTGAGGTTTACCTCTTCGCTAGGGACATAGAGAACTGCCTCAGAGAAAAAGTCATCGGGAAGTGGAGTATAACGAAGATAGTCAAACCAGAATGTTTCGTTTGCCGAAGCTGAGATTCGAATTGATAGGGTGTGTGGACCTGCCTTCAAGGATTTATCTTCACAAAGGATCCAGTTGTTTTGTGCGGCTGAAAAAGTTGGCCCGTTGGTTATATTGACCTGGTCAACGAAACAGCCCCAGATTGGTGCCCCTGCCCGCAGAATGGTACCAAAGACGGAGATGGAGGATCCTTTTATTGGTACCGATGATATATAACTATTTCCGCACTAGTAGATGTACGCACCACTGAAACTGAAAGACACGCTGCTGTTAACGCTCGTTCCATGCGATGTGTGATTGTAGATCGGCCCGTAAGTCCCAATTTTGTCCAAGTCTCCTCCTGTGTCCAGGACCCACTTATTCCCAGAGTATTCGATCCTGCTGTCGGTATCGTCGACAACGATTTGGCGGGTGGGTGCCGACATCAGCTCAAAGCCATCACAACTC